GGGGGGGATATATCCCCTCCCCAAGCAAAAATTCTGGGTTAGGTAAAATGCTAGGGATGCTCCTTTTTTTAAAGTAGCAAAGTTTACCATTATTACTTTATTCCTAAGTCAACCATTGTGAAGATATGAGTATGGAATTGCGTGTCAGTAAATTCATTTTATAATCCAAAAACCCCCTAAGACAGGATTTTTTTAAATTCGACCTCTACAGGGATWAAAAGGGTTATATAATATAAAAAAGAAAAATTATTCGTTTGATCAGTTTAATCTCTGGAACCATTTAACTGGTTTTAAAATTTTTTTATCATCAGAAAGCTACACAATCCCATGAGATCTTGATAAGTTTCCCCTTTTTTTATTACAAATTCGAGATTTTTATAAAAATAATAATAATATTAAATATATGTTTGTGTATTATATGGTTGCTATTGGACATTGGTTATACAATTTAGTAAGGAAGAATAAGAAATTAGCAATTTGTTATTACATTACTTGGTACCAATTTTAAAAATTATTTCCCAAAGCTAAAAATGCGATAAAATATTATGATTGAATATAATTTTAGTCCTGTATTTTAAAGGACTGTGTWAAAAATCTTTTATGGAGATTAAATAAATAAGGTGAATCCACGGGTATTTGTCACGGGAAGTTTTGATTATGACTAGCCAAGTATAAACACTAATTAAACAAGTATTTTGAATCATATATAGTGTCGGTATTTTTTAACGGGCAACGAAGTGCACGAGGATCAGCTACATAAATATATAGATATAATATTTTTCTTTTAATAATATAGGTATATTATTATATTTTCATTAGTAAATAAATATAATGATAATTTATTTTGAGAATGTATGTCCCCACTCTCCACATCCTGTTAACCCCGCGAGCCGCCACTGAATGTACTAAGTACTATTATTATTTATAACAGCTAAAACCCTATTTATAAGACATAATATTATCATCCTAACACGTAGTGATCTGTCCCGATTTCATCGTTTCTGTTATCTCTTGAATATTATCTCGGATCAAGAATCAGTGAAYCACAGAATAAATAATAATTACCTATTAAATAATTTTTCTTTTACTTACTAGGTCATAATTTATTTAGAATTTTTAATTCTAAAATATCTTAATGTATATTTTGTAAAATATATCTAGGTATAATCAATGGTCTATAAATATTATACTTTGTAATTTGTCACTAATTTCTATATAAATTGTATTAACAGAGATCTAAAAATGTAACACAGACAAAATATATATCCTATGCATTAATATTTATGGTGAAATAAAATAAAAAGCGGTAATTTTTGCTAAATAAGCAGTGCTGCCGTATATGTATAACGAAAAAACAATAATATCCCGAATTCTCAACATGAGACTACAACCACTGAATATATTTTGTGCTACAACTGTAGAGAAYTTTGTTCAAAATCCAATTTATCGGACAATTATTATTACTTACTAGTACTAGTAAATTTTGCCATAGATTAACCATACTTCTTAGTACAAAATATACTAGAAGTACCCACTACATTAAATTAATTGATGATACTCAGCTGCTGTGGTTGGACGTGCTTTTATCAACTTCTGTTAATTTGTGGAAGAACTGCCCGAATACTCGACAGTGGCTACAACCTAGTCGTATCGATTTATACCCATAGATAATAGAAGAATATTATCTATGTTTATACTTTATTCGCTCGTCATATTCTCGACCAGTGTGTACGATTGTAGATTGACGGAAATGTGAAACTTGGAATGTTATCAGTGTATTTTAATTGGAAATGTAATGTTTTATTGCACCGTTTGGTTTTTTGGTACATACTACATTACTACCTATATACATATCATAGCGAAACGTAAATTATTATTATAAGTACAATTTCTATTATATAGTATTATAGTGTAATAGTGTATGCCATCCGTTTTTGAATAGTTTTAATAATAACAGTATTTGGTAGGTATTTTAAAATCTAGTCTTAATGATGATTTGACGAAAAACTACTCGATGATTCTTTTTTGAACGTTTGAACTTGAAATTTTCAACCCATCAAGGATTGTTGGTCACAATTAAATCCATAATGGCGAAATCAATTAGTAATTTGATTGTAAGTATTACATAGTACATACCCGTATTATATTATTGTAATAATATACTAAACCAACTGAATATAGTTACCTATTGTATAATGTGCATGGGCTACAGTAGATATTAAAAAGATTTTCTTAAAAGTTTTGTGTTACTGTTGAGTAATTATAGAATAATTTATTAATCAATGGTAGGTATTACCCCTAGATAATAATTGATATACTCATTAAAACTTATTTAATTATTGTTTAATTTTTATCCTTTAACCTAAATAACATGTTGTTCTTAAAATKTTATATAATAGGTATTAAGTTGTTYGGTACGTATAAAAATAAGATGTTATTCTTAWCATTTTATATACTTAATATTAAGTTGTGGTTTGRTATCACCTAAATAAATTAACCGAATCATTATAACTAGGCTGAGTGTTGATGCTCGTTTTGTTATGTCAAGCGGCAATTTAAAATTTTAAATATAGTTGTACAAAATTACATATTCAGGAAGAAGAATTAAGCCAATAGTACATTATTTTAGAATCTCATTATTCAGACCAAACTCACCTAGTCATACTAATAAACCGGGTTATTATTTAATCATTTTAATCAGAATTAATGATTATACATATATAATAATATATATTAAATAATACATAATACATTTGTTTTGAAATAAATACATATATTTCATAATTCTTGCTTATGACTTGTTCTCAGTATACTATTTATGCATAACATAAGAAATTCTGGTACTACTCTGTTATCGCCCTGTGGAAATTAACGAAAAATATTACTGGATTGCTAGAGTTGTACAATAATAATATTAAGTAGTAGATTTTATCATAATCAAATTAATCATGAGTACAACTTTTTGATCCTACCTCTGAAGCTCACTTTCAAAACATTGAGAAAATGTTAGATGTTTCTAAATGGAGGAAACAAACCACATCTTGGTGCTGCTGTTACCCAAAATTTCTTTGAGCCCTATTTGACAGTRTATGTGGCAGCCAATGCTTACTGAAAAAGATCCTTTTGAAAAAATTTAATTGGATATTTCAGAGTTTTAGCYTACGTCTTCCATATTAATTAATTTACCCTAGTCATAAATTAAATTATTCAAATTATTTTTAATACCTGATTATTTTTATTTTATAATTTTAATTAATCAATATTTTTGTTATTTTTAATAGTTGATTAAAAATAAGATATTATATAAAAAATATTTAYTAGCAGTATTACAGCTTAGTGATAATTGATGATTATTAGGTTAAGTTAGGTTACTCTGAGACCTACTTAAGGTATTTGGTAGTTATACATAATAGCAAATTAGGGGTCATTTTAAATTTAAATTGTCAAAATGAGCTCAGTTAATGAATTACCTCATTGGATAAATGTGTAAAAACCATAATATATTGTATCCAGATTAGTGGGATGTTTTTAGTATAGACTAACTTGTTTACACATTTATAGGTATTAATAATGTTTTCCAAGAATTTAACAAATTAAAAGAAAATTGTTAAATGAATAGATAAATAATTTATATTTATATGAAATTGTAATATTGTTTGTAGTATCTACTTGTTACAAATGAGTATGAAATGTATTATAAGTAGCTAAATAATGTACACATATTATGTATCATTTAATRATGAAGTAATATTTTAAACTATTGTTGTTTTACAAATTATGAACTTTTATTCTATCTTTAGTAATATTTAGTTACTTACTTATTAAATTATAATTTGTTTTTGATTTTAGGCGGATATTGAATACATTCATCAATTGGTATATGATTTAAGACTAAATGAATTACAACAAATTTTAGATGCGCTTAAACAGAATAAATCTGGCAGCAAACAATCTTTACGCAAGCGTGTCTTAAACTTGTTAACTGCTTCTACATCAAAATCAAAAGCTTTGAAACAAAAAATTGTACAAGTTTATAACTCTAGACCACAACAAACCCAACAACCACCACAGGCACCGGTTGTACAACAACCAAATTTTTTACAACGGCTTATGCGACAAGCTCGACATCCTATTCATAGCCAGTCTTATTCAGCACCAACACCAAATCCTATCCAACCTTATGTTGAACCCCCAATTCCAGCTATACAATTTGAACCCTTACCATTCTTTAAAACAGTACAAACATTATTAACGCCTATGTATTGTCAGACCAATATTGATTCTGCAAACTTTACTGGGCTATTTTATTTAACAGATGATGTTAGACATTCTATCGTTAAATCATGGAATATTACCAGACAAGAATATAAAATTCAAATCATTTTAAGATTACTACAAGTTGGACTTGATGAAAATGTTACTGAACGTTTACCTTACAATATTACAGTTTCTGTAAATGATCGTCAATGTAAGTTACCTACATTAAACATCCCAACAAAAGCTGGCATCACCCCATGGCGATGCAATGTTCCTATAGATATTACTCAACAAACAGATTTAAGAAATTGTTTACAGAACACATTAAAAATTACATGGTCAGAAGAACCACACGAATATATAGCTGGTGTTTTTGTGGCCCAAAAATTAACTTGGAATGATCTGCTAATAGAACTCAAAAAGAGACCCGTACGCCCTTCAGATAAAACTAAAGAACTCATTAAAAAATCCATGGAAAATGACGTCGATATGGGTGTTGATTCCATGTTTGCTACTGTTAAGGATCCATTAACTAAATTAAGAATGAATCTTCCTGCTCGAGGTGTAGACTGTATACATTTACAATGTTTTGATGCAATACAATTCTTGCAGATGAATGAACAAAAGCAAACATGGTTATGCCCATTATGTAAAAAAAAAATTAAATTTGAAAACATTGAAGTTGATGAGTTTTTTTTAAACATGCTTCAAAGTCCAGATTTGAGTGAAGAATGTGAAAATGTTGTTTTGTTAAAAGATGGCACATGGTCTGAAAGAAAAAATAAAGAATTTTCCAACAATTCTGGAACCAACGGTTGTCGATCTACAARCAATATTGAAGTATTTACATTATCAGATTCCGATGATGATAATGATGCAGATAATGATCTAGACAGTGATGAAAATGAAGAGATTATTCCAAAACCAAAACGTTATAAATATAATCCACCAAAATTGGAAGAATCTGTAATAAAATCTGAACATATTGATGAAACCGAAGATCTTACAGATCCTTCTGAAAGTGATCTTGTATTAGACTTAAGTCTTAAAAATAATTCAAAATCATCATTTTCTGGTAGTTCAAAGTATGATCCAATTATTACGTTAAATGACGATTCTAATCCATCAACTTCATCTAATTCAAAGTATGATCCAATTATTACATTAAATGACGATTCTGATCAATCATCTTCAGCTAATTCAAAGTATGAACCAGTTATTATATTAAATGACGAACCTGATCCACCATCATTATTGGAATCCTCTTATATGTTAAATAATCATTACCTTCCAAATATTTCAATCTCAGGGTCCAACAACTATGCAGCTAGTGGCTCTAGAAGTAGTAGAGATAAAAGACGTCAAGAAAAAGAGAAATCAAGATCAGTTTTATGCGTTATAACATTAGACTAAACTAATGTATTTCAATTCTTATTTCTAAATTTGTATACAATTTTTTATATTAACAGCTCGTTTTAAAAAAACAGTACAACTGGTAAATAATAATTTATATTTGATCAAAACTGAATAAATTGTAAATAATTAATACTTTTAAAAATGTATAATATAATAACTATTATTTTATTAACTTGATTTTAATACAAATATTATTTGAAAAATAAAACCATGTTTTCCTATGTTAATTTTTTTTATACATTGTTTAAAATATAAAGGTACCACATTCAGCCTACTTCTCATCAGAGTATGATAATATGTTTAATTATTATTTTCAATAACTCCGTTAAATTATTCATAGGTAGTTTTTAGCATAAATGCAACTAGAGGGGACTAAAATAAATTATTCAACTGTCTTCTAAAATAATAATAAATCTTTTAAAAATCAAAGCTAATTTTTATTTTTGGAAAAAAAATAAACTATTAAATTTTATTTAAAATGTATGATTATTTTTTATATTTCTGAAGATAAATATTGTAATTATCATTAGTTGTATGCAGGTATTTATTTTTAAGAAAACAAGTTTTATCAGTACATTGGTACAGTTATTGTACCTATACCTAATTTTACAATTCACGCACTGAACTATAATATACAGACCAGGCGCGGATTCAGGGGGGGGAGGCTATGGGTGCTCGGGTACCCCTAGTCAACTAGCCACCAACAAAATAATTTTATAATATAAATTATATAATTTGTTATTTTTCAAAATAATAATAATGATAATATCGGTGCTTTTCTTAATCGCCGTCACATACGACAATAATGACTTATTGTTAATTGTTTTCGAAGTACCTATACTCGTATGTAACGACACGCGTCGACGGCGGAAAGCACTGATATAACAATTATTATGAAAAAAAAGTTAGCACTAATAAATCAAATAGAAAATGGTAATATTTAAATAAATAGTAAGGTGTAACAATTTTTTTTTTGAGCACCCMCTGTTAAATTTTTTTGGATCCGCGMCTGATACAGACAATATATTATTGTGGAAAATGAAATTTCAAATTTGTATTAATAAATATTTTTAGTTTTTTTTGTATACCTAATTTTTTTACATCTTAAAATATAAGAGTCTTATAATAGATGTCTTATAATAAGACCCCTCATAGTTTACTTTTCATGTAAAATCAGTTAGGGGTTACATAGGCACGTATACAGAAGGGTTTGGGGTTGAACRGATTATGGGGGATGCCATTGCAACCGGCAACCACCAGCGCACGCCTATAATACCACTATACCTAACTTATCCTCATTTTATCAATGTTTCGTTTCTTAATACCATTAATCCTAATTTACTGTATTAGGTACTTTACAGTCGTAGATATTAAAAGGCCTATTACGTGCCTATACTTTTTTTGCTCAAAAATATGCTTTATAGGGAAAATTCACGCCTTGCATAATGATCTGATTTCAAGAATTTATATTTTCGGAAAAGAATACTTCTTACAGGATGCATTGGACCGGGTTTTTAAAAATTTTATTTCTATATCATATACCTAGGTAATACGATTTTAAATTTGGGCAATTTTCACAAGCTATTATCATTTTTATTGTGTTTTACGAAATTAAAAGTCAAAGTTCAATGTGCCCTGTAGAAAATTATATCCTCTTTCTGACGAAAACAATTAATCAAATCAGTTTATGGGACTGGTGATAATTAATTAATGACTGTGGCTATAAATAGTTTAATCATCTCATAGGCGTGAGAATTTTTCCTGTAAAACATGTTTCGAGCAAAAAAATCACACTTTTCACTTTTGGTCGGTGGTGCTGTTGACATGTACTAGCGTCCTGCGTCCCAGCGCATACCTACTAATCTAATAGATATCCAGGAACCCAAAGTGGTGCCGAACTCTGTTATAAATCATAATTTATGTGAAGCAACCGCTTAACTTCTTAAATAGGTGGATGGGATGGGTGAATTCTTGGGAGTAGCGGTTAATARGTGAACTTAGTTAAATCAGGTGTGCTATACATAATACCTATTGAGAGTATTTATTTTTTATTTTTTTTACTAATTCAATTGTAAAATTGGTGTATTACCAGGTATTTTTACAATATTAGGTACAATTTACGATTAATACGATTAGATGGCTGAAAAATTGTAGTGGGTGGGTGGATAAACAATTCTAGATTTCGCTTCACAAACAATCCCGAGTTAATTTTATGTGGTTTTATTACAATATTTATTTATGTATTTTTTTTTTCATAGGCATATTACCGGTGAAAAGTTTGATGATACTMAAGTGATACGCAAGTACCTATATGTTATGTTTATACTTATTAGGTACCATGCTGTCCATAGTTCCATACTGCTTTCAAAAAATCACTCGTTCACGCGCGAAAAATATTTAAAATTTCAAACGTACTTTTTGTTGGCAACTCCAGTATCGGGTTGTAACCATAAATGCATGGAAGCGAGATACCAYGATTAAAGATATAATTATATCTTTAATCGTGCGAGATCGGAGATACTAACTGACTAGATATCCGACTAAGTAGTAAGTAACCGGCAACTGTTCGAAAATATTTAATTATTAGTACTGCAGCTGCTGACAGTCGTGGATTAGCTGGTATTATAAATTTGATTTATTAATGTTTAGTGAAATTTATTGATTGTTTTGCCCAACAATATTATTTAATTTGGTGAAACGAGGAAATCCTGAACGCGGTAAAAGCTCCTAAAATCATATAATACGCTGTCTAGTGTCTGACTACTATCACGTATGGTAATATGGTAATGGGTAATGTGGTAAATCTATGGCTTACCAGTTACCAAGACGCCTACCGCCGAATGCGCTATTCGGTCTATTCGGCATTCGCTATTTAGATTTCGGATCGTGATTCGTGATTATAACAAATATTTAAAACAAAACGTATTAAACGATCATACAATATCGTATTATATGTATAATAATGTGTTTATGTATACACTAAACGGATCACAAGATGCTTTGTTCTGGTGCCACGTTCAGCTGTTGACTGTTGTCAATTGTTAATTGAGTTGGACGTTCAGCGTAGCGTTGCATCTAATACAACTTAGAATCACCCAGAAGAATATTTTTCACCCACTCGAAACAAAACGATATCATTGCAAACGCGATCCACTTTGTCATCGATCATTTTTTTTTCTACTTGTTCACTGAACTTTGATGTAAGCTGAACGATCAAAATTAAACCGGTAAGACTTTATACACAACTCGTATAATTTACATATAATAATTTAAAACGCTTAGTGTATGGTACATACGTCCTAAATGTTATACACTGTGGTGCGAAACTACAATTTTCTACCAACGATCAATTAACTATAAACAATAATACTAACATCTAAAGATATTAATCATTGTTCGGTTTTGTCAAAGAATGTGTGCGCGTATTGTTCAGTGTTGACGCTTTTCGATTAATTTACCTGCTGTGGAAGGCTGAACCTTGCTGTGACACCAATTCGCAATGACGTTACTGGAGTTTACTGGTTGTGCGCTGACAGCTTTCGGCCCAGCGTTGTCAATGTTCATTGTAACCATCATGAATGATCCTGTACGAGTCATCATATTGATAGCCAGTTCGTTTTTCTGGCTGCTCAGTCTACTATTCTCGTCAATAGTATGGTTTGTCTTCCCCAGCAATCAGCAGGTCTGGTTCGGAGTGCTCGTGTCTGTATTGGTACAAGAACTCTTCCGTTACTTTCTATATCTGCTGTTACGCAAAGCAGAACGTGGACTCAAACGGTTTGTGGTGCACTCGTTAGTGTCCAACAATAAACACATATTGTCATATGTTTCCGGTTTGGGATTTGGTGTCATGAGCGGCCTATTCGCTTTGATCAACATACTTGCTGAAGTTGGAGGACCAGGAACAATGGGACTTCGTGGTGGATACAGTGCATTTTGTATTGTATCTTCAATTTTCACTGCATTCATCATATTCCTACATATTTTTTGGGAAATACTATTTTTCCATGGATTGAACACAGACAATAAAAGCTTTATTTTATATGTCATTATTTCGCATTTAATTGTATCAGAAATAACATTGCTCAATCAATACTATTTTAATACACTTGCATTGTTTATAGTATTTATAATAACATTGGGTTCAGGATATTATGCTTTCAAGACTGCGGGTGGACATTTGCCCATCATTGACAGATTTAAAAATCAAAATACTACAACAGCAGCAGCTGAGAATTAAAAAAATGTATTACTTTTTATAACAATATATATTTTGTTTTCTATATTTATTTATATTATATTACATGAACCTAACGTATTGATTTTTGATAATACCTACATCATAAAAATTAAGTTATTCTAATATTCATCTGAACTTTTAATTAATAAATTATTACATTTTATTTATAACAAAACTAGTCTTGTTTTTTTTCTTTTTAAACATATTTACCCTGTCCGATTTAGTAGGTAATTACTTTTATTTAAGAGTTTTATTCAAAAATGTATTTATTTTTAAAACAATATGTATATATACATATATAATAATATATGTGTTACAAWTTAATTAATATTCACTAGGTATAAAATTAAATTAATATTTTAATTAAAAAAATAATTATTTTAAATAATAAAATAAATTAGTCATAAATAATGATTAATTGACAAAAAAAWTCTTTTTATCATACTTGAATGATGATATGCTGCATTACATTATGTAATTTACATGTGTTAAAAATGCATACAATTCTTTTTTTCAATATAATTAGTAAAACATTGTTATCTCTTAAAGAGTATAAATGATATCATTAATAAATATTAAACGAGTTTACATTTTAGTTAACAACAAAGTTTTAGATAAATTAATGATTAGTTGAATGTTATGTATTAATATTAATCTATCGAATTTGATTAATACTAACTGAGCAAGATGCATTAACGGTTAATATAAATGGTCCTTCTTTACCAGGCAGGTATGTTGAAGGAATTATTTCATATGTTCCAGGTTGAATATCAGCTAATTCTAGAATCACATACCCGGATCTGAAATGAAAAAAGATTAAAAATTAAGAGATAATTTAATTTTAAATAGTATCATTACCTAGAAGATAAAAAAAATGTGATTTAATATTATGTTGATATAATTTTAATAAATTAATTATATTCATATATTTTTATTGTTATTTAATAAAAGTTAGTATTTTAAAATGTCTCAACATCATTCCCAATCCTAGGCTGTTAGAAAATGAATGTCAAGCATTTATAATATTAGATATACATACATAATTTGACATTTTTTCATTTAAATTTCATTGAAATTAATTACCTATTAGTTTTTTTGTGTTTCTATTCAATTAATATGTTGGTTATTTATTATTTTGTGTTTAAGTACTGAATACAATTGAAATTATAAGTTGTTTGTATTTATTTGTTTTATTATATGTCAAATGAAGCCGAATGTCCAGATCAATGTGTGTATTACATCATCTGCCCAGCTGAGAAGACTATGCCAGAACTTGATCAACAAAAACAACAGTGTTTAGTGGCAATGGAAACACTTGATCGGTCATCGCCAGAACTTTGGCCTGAACCAATGCCTGGTATGTCCGGTTTTGCTCAACATATACGCGCATCTAGTGCGACTGATAAACAACCATCTTGGAAGCAACCCCCGGATGCTCATGATATGCTACTTGTACAACGTTATAGTCAGATGCCATTGCCTCCTCTCTTAGATGAATTAAAGTCTCTATACGACTTTGCCTATAATTTAGGCTTAGAGGAATCTAAAGAAATGACACGWGGAAAATATTTAAATATATTCACACGTAATACTAATAAATCCAGTGAATAATATTGTAATCATTTGTACAATCTAAAAAAATATATATATTCTTTCAATTTATGGAWTCATCTTAATAATTTTTTAATTAAAACAATGTGTTTTAACTCAATAAATAAATTTTTTTGTGTGTATTAGTAATAGATAATTTACATTAAAATAAACATTAGTATTTTTTTTTAGTTCAAATTTTAAATAATTTAAGGAGTGTTCATTTAATTTTTGATATTGGTGTGCAATAAAATATACTAAATTTTAATATAATATACCTATTATCTAGTATATACTAACCTATAGCTTCCAGAGGATTTGCTTTTAAACTTGGCTGTAGCATTTGTATTATTTAAACCAACACATGATATTTCAACTCCAACTTGGTACTGTTTTGGTGCCTTAAGTTCAATTTGTAATGCTTCAGTGTCAGATGATCCGTCTACTGTTAATTTGAACTTTGGGTTATCATTATAAGTACTATGGTTTAGACATCCACCAGCTCTTATTCCTTTCCATTCACCATTGACAGTCTACATTTAAATTCATAATAACATATTAATTATTCAATAGGTTGACTGGAAGACAAAATAAATTACAGTTTTGAATTTGGGATTATACGAGTTAATCAACTCCTGCATTGTAAAGGGACATGTAGCATATGCCCGTAGTGTATAATTAATTGTGTTCATTTTTTCATATTGAGACACGACTAATGTATACTTGGATGGCGTTTTATCATTAATAACAATCTTGCAAAGATAATGAGGGCTATTGATACGCGTTCCAGATATATATGGTTCAGGATCATCTAGAAGAAACTTACTAAAATGTTACTATTTCATTATTTATATGATAAGCTAATATAAGTACTTGGGTAATGAACACGTTTTCCATTATTTTTGTATACTAAAACACTTATATATTCCCGATTTTCTTTGAAATCTTGTAACTCAGTTATGTGTCTGGTTAAAAGTATCCAAACAGCACCACTGTTAATATTACCAACATCTAGAAAAAATTGTGGATTTTCACTTATGTTATATAAATCAGAAATAGGACCTGTTCCAGTATTCCAAGTCCTAAAAGTATACATAATAATAAAAAATTAAATCAATTTAGTTTTAATATAAGTATTTTTGATAATAAAACTTGTAATGTACTTATGTATGCATGATGTGTATGGAAATATTGCTGGATTCCAATTCATACAAAATACATCGAAATGATGAATTACTGATGCATAATCTATCCAAAAGATTCCGTTATCGAATGTAGCTGCACTTGTTGGATCATAGTTGAGCGTTTTTCTTAACTGAGATGTCCAACTCTTTTCATCCAATTCTGAGTAACGTCCTTTCCACCGTACGTGAGCCCAGGGATTTTTCAATTTCAACAGTTTTAAATCCTGAAATAATTTTAAACAAAATGCATGTGATTGCAATGTTAAATCAATTCATTTTTTAAGTATATGGCTTACGTTAACTTTTTGTACAGCCAAAACGGCATATGCATGTGAAGAAACAAGACCAGTTCTTCTCTCTTCTTCTGCTGACATTAGTGATGTAGCGACAGTAATTAATACATCACCTTTACACAATCTTGTATAGAGAGTTTCAAAGAGACCATCAGCATTAAATGTTTTTTCATCTAAACGAATAGCACAGCGTTCTGGTATCCAACCAGTTAAAGCATGGAGATCAATGTTCTAAAATCAATACAATTAACAAAAAGTTAAAAAAAACATTTTAGTTATGATTTTATATTTTAACACGTTGACTGCCAGCGGCCTCAAGAATATTTATCATGGGTACGCCAAAGACATTTTTCAGTGTCATTATAAATTTGTATTTGTATATATACTATTGAAATTGAAAAAAAATTAAAAATACAAAAAAAAAATGTTAAAATTGTTTATTACATCAAAAACATTGCAATTATTCCCACTACTTCACAGCATATATTCAAGATCATTATTGTAGCGCCACGGAAAAGTTAATAATATAAATCCAAATTAATTTACGGCAGCCCACTGCCGTATGGCCTCCTACGAATGATATGRTGCGGCAGCCGGCGGTCTAAAAATGATCGATACCTAATTATTATTATACGGACGCCAGCGGCCACATGGCAGTCAACGTGTTAATGAACTTACACTACTTGATCCTGGAAAATCATAACCTCCCATTACTTTAAGGTATGCTTTTTCTATAAGAGAAACCCAAAATTCATTTTTATTTGATGAATGCGAGCATAATAATGAGTTATACTGGCCAACTGGTAGTAGATCATCTATTATTACCTTACGCTGTATACCGTTAAGGTGAAATTTGACCATATATTTTCCTAACAAAGAAAACAATGTTAGTATAATCTACTTTAAAGTTATGTAAAAAAAATAATGCTATTACATTACCAAATGGATTGTATACAGGTTGTCCATTATGTTTTTGAGGGTAGATAATTGATGTAATTAATCTTTGTTTAAATGTTTTCTCATACACAGCACATACAGCTAATGATGCAACAAATGAACAGTCCGTCACGATCTACAAAAAAAATAATTAAATCTCTAAATATATATATATATATATATATACAGGATGTATCGCAAGGATTTACCCATTGCAATATCTCCTGAGATAATAAATATATCATAATTTTTTTTTTTTTATATATAAGATTCACATAGACAAAGGCTACATGTATTTTATTTTTTAATTAAATTTTATTTTTTTGGTAAAAAAGTTAAGAAAGTTATTTTTAATAAAGATATACCTATCTTATAGAGTTTATTTTGTTGAAAATGTTGGCTTTTGAACATTTTATTTTCATTCATCTCATAATTTTTAGTATTTTTTTTTTTTGTTTATAAAAAGATTCTAGTAAATCTAGTAATTTTTAATGTAGAATACTGAGTTGAAATTATAAGATTATAGAAGACCAAATAATCTAGACAAAACATAAAATTATTTGAATAGATTTTGTTAATCAATTTTATAGTTTTATTAGTTTTTAATTTCTATCAAAATATTAAAATAAAATAATTTTAAGTATTATCGTGATGACGTAAAATAACTTGTAAATTATTGATGATCGCTGTTATATTATAAAATGAATGCTTCCATAGCAACACATCTTTAAATAGAATACTACAATTTAGTTTAATATTATACTATCAGTTTTTATTATTACAGTTTGCTTTATGCTGTAAAAATCTATGGAGTCTCCGACGACCATTTTTGGATCTGAACATAATTGATCTGGTCTTATCCATTGAACAAATTTTTTTTTTTGTTCCAACGATAATGTCAGCAAACCATCATTGTCGGTAAATGGAATAGATAACTGAAACCTTTTAAAACAGAAATATTGATGTTTATTTTTCTGTAAAAATGTAATTAATTTAAAAAAACATGGAATAATGATAATTTTAATTAGTTATTTATTAATTTTCATAAAATCAAATTTTAAATTTTAGAAAATAACATTAATACATAATATATTACACATTTAAAATAATATTTTATGTACTTGTATATGAACATTATTGCCAACATAAAAATATATTATAGCTCTATTGTATTTACCTCTCTAAAAGATCAACATCCATGAAAGGAACGTACTCTTTATTATTAATTTTTGATGTGAACAATAATACTCGTTTTTCTGCTTCTGTATAAAGATCATTTTTAGGTGTTTGATTTCGAACAACTTTCTTATGAATTACTGCTGAAAATTAGTATACAAAGTTATTTATTTGAAATTTCTGCAAATAATTTTATTGTAAAAATTAAATGATACATTCCTAAATGTTTTTTTTAATTTTATTATTCTATGCAACAAATTTAAATTTAGATCTTATAATTAAATAATTCATACAAYAACATGTATTAATATAGTAGTATACACTTAAATGTTTATTTTAAATACCTTCCATTTTTTAACAATTTTTATTTCATAATATATTATATACCTAATTAATTAAGTAAAAAAATCCAGATAATCTGTAAAATCATAATTGTTGATAAATAATAATATCAGATACCACAAATAAATTTTTATTAACTAGAGACCAAAATATTCAAATTTAAAGCTATTATGTCACAGACATAATAAATCGATTAAGGTAAAATTATATAATTTAAAGGTGTAGTACAATTAAGCACACAGACAATTTGATAAAGATTAGAGTAGAAAATTATATGACAGTGATACAGATTTAAACTCTTGATTTTTGAATTAGAATATACAAAATTATAGTGACAAAAAGAAAATGTAGGTCAAAATAAATACGTCTTATGCTTAAAAGATTGGTATACAACTGATTTAATACAACAGAATAACTATTTACTATTTATCTTTGACAATAATTTTTATATAATATTAATATAATTGTCATTACATATATTATCTTATTTTGTTTTATTAATTTCGTACATAGTATATATATTTGTAATTTATAATTTACAAATAGGAATGTAAGATATTAAATAAAAAATGGCAATTATAAATTTTCATTTAAACGTAAAGCAAATAAAAAAACCTATTTTATTATAATAAGTGAGTTAAATAATTTGTATTTGTACTAAGATTATTAAAGTTATGAAAAGGTGAAGAAAAAAACTAGTATGACAAGTCACAGAATGATTACCGCCATCATTGTTACTATCGTTAAAATACTATAGCAAGTCAATTTAAGTGACTAATATCTCATAATACTCTCTCATTTCTCACTGAATACCATATTTTCATTCATGTAAATTGTTAAGAGCTCAAAAAATTATATCTGAGACACTTTTAAAAAATGCACTTTAAAATATAATTTTCATCCTGATTTTTAATGTATAATCATACTATGAACATTAAATACTGTCTTACGTCAACATAAACAATATAATAGGCATAACATTATTGTTAATGTATTTAAATAGCTTGAGGTTTTTATCTAAAATATAAAACATTTTAAGTCAACTGAAACAAATTAATAGAATTTTAATTTATACTTATCCTCAATATTTTTGCATAGTTGTTTCTAAACCTTGCAAACTAATAAAACAATTTATTTCTGAAAATTTAAACTTTATTTTTTACACAAATATTTGATTCATTTGATATTTTGAATATCTTTGGTATTTTAAAACATATAAATTGTATTTATCCTAAAATTAATCTTGATTTTTAACCCGTCAGAAGTCGCGTATGAGAGGCGCTCATTCCGTTATTAGTTTAGCTACCACTGGTTTCAATTTAATTTTTAAATTGTTGAAAACTACGTATACTTTATGCTATCTTATCTAATACGTTTTGACCAAGTATTGTAACTACCATTTATTAATAATAAATAAACAAAGTGATCCTAATTAATTATTCATAATAAAATTCTCATTTACAGTTCGATTTACAACATTAATTAGTAAAAACTGGGAAAGTGAGCGCYGCGCTCATAYGCGCCTAACTGTGTTACTAACATACACGCGCCTACTGACGGGTTAATGTTACATTCATAACATTAGACAATAATTATATATTTCTTAAGCTATATTATATTTTCAATATACAATATGTCATATTTAAAATTTTACTCAATAAATWCATTTTTAAACTGGTAAATTTTAAATAGTTATAAATTTGAAGCTGATACAATTAGTTGTAAAACACCAAACAATGTTTGAGGTAGTACAGTAGTGAATATTCTTTGAGAGCATGGACAATAAATGGTTTAAATAAAATAAAAATTGAGGGATTCTAAAATATTTCAATACAATTTCAATGTTAAAGAAATGTTTGAGCTTTTATTGTATAATTTTTGTAATTTTATAATTGTTTAATTTTATTGTTTAAAATACACCTTTGAATTCGGTTTGAAATGGCATCAATAGTTACATAAACAAAATTAATGTACTAACACCAATTTATCAGCCTTAAGAACTTATATAATGTTAACATGAGCTTTTTTTTAATATAAATTTTCTATTTAAATATCATAAAATATATGATTTATTATAAAATATAAACTACTTAATTCACAATTTTATTTTAGTGAAAAAAAATGTTTAAACAGTAAAATACAGTTTCTTAACAATAATAGTATGTATTTTTTAAATTAAAACTCAGCAAGTGGTCTGTAGTTTTAAATTTAAGAATTCATAAATTAAATTAGTACCTTAATATAATTATACAAACATAAAATAACTTTAACTTAATAGGTAACTTATTTCAATTGTTGAACACCTATGATAACTTAATAGAATATAGAAAATTACACAAATAATACAATTTAATTATTTTAATTTATATAGTGTTATTTCAATAGTATGAGACAATGATTGATAACTTGTAATATAATGGATGGAAAATACTATATTTAAATATTATTCAAACTATAAATTAATATTTTAAATGTATATGTGTGTGAAWAAAAATAAATTATAATGAACCAACAATTAACACGTTAAATGCCATGTGATAATTAGCGATTATCTGTTATCCTCAAATTGTATACTTTTATAACTATAGTTCAGGGGTGGCCACTAACCTCAATTTTGGAAGCCCCAAATCTAAGATGTTAATTTAAAGAGAGTCACATTATTAAATTTTGTTTATAAAATTAAAACACAATATTTCATAACAAATGAAGAAATTTTATTTATTATACTATATAGAACATTATTATTCGGGTACTCAACTTTAAATTAAGTTGTATTTTTGAGAAGTGCATTTTATATTATATTAATTAATTTTAGTATTTCACTCTAAACTTGGTGTTAAGAGCTGCATGCAGCTCATGAGCTTTGTTGTGGCTACCCTTGCTATAGTTGATTATTACTACTACATGACTACCCAGTACCCACAACCATAAATAAAGATGATTTTAAATGATTATCTCTTTTTTGACACTACATAAATGTACTAAAAGAGACAGRGGTGTATTGGGAATAATTACAATTTTTTAATTATTAAACACAACAATTGTATTTTTTTAAATGTTTTTTTTCTTCAAATTTTATAGTATATACAAATTAGAATGACATGRAAAAATATGTTTGTGGTRTAGATAATACATATCGAGTGAACGCCGACATTACATGGCAGTCAATGAGTTGAATATAAACATTTTGTGGTGAAGATTAAAATTCAATTTTAAAAATTAATACTATGAGGTAAGTTTAAAATAAATGAGATCTAAGTATAGTAATTACTATTTAGTTTCAAAATTAAACATTTACAGTCTATATTTGTATTATTGTATCCAAACAAAACATTATGATAATATGGTTTGAATAGCTATAACAATTAACAAATTATGATTTCCTAAAATAAACTCAAGAACACAAAATTATCACATTTAAAAGTTCATTAAGAGGAAGCCATATCCACACGCGTTGTCTCCACCATACAAACACATTACATAGCAAATAGTATATTATTCTGAATGATTAATTTAACTCTATTAAGTTTAATTTTAAAGTAAATTAATCTCGTATCAAATTTAAAAATAAGAATATTACCTAGTCAATGAAATAGCTTTTTTTTAAATATTTTAATTTTAAAGCAAGTTATAAGGATTTTAAAATGTACAAACAATTTATTATTTTAAAACAATCATGACTMACATTTAAGCAGTGGCGGCGCTAGGCGTGGGCGGTGTGGGCCATTGCCCACGGCCTCACACCTCAAAGGGCCTCGCRTTCCATAGGGCTTTATAATTAACCATAGAGAAATATGACAGAAGTTAAAAAAATTTTTAAAAGGGCCTCTTTAAGTCTACTTCGCCCACATGTAACTTTTACCTCGCCACGCCACTGCATTTAAGTTGAAATATAAAAAAAACCTATTTTATTGACTAGATAATATTCTCACTTCTAAATTTGGTATTAGGTTAATTCGCGTCGTAATGTGTTTGTAAGACAGAGACAAAGCAGCAGTTATGATTTTTTTTTTAACAAAGTTCAAATTAAGATAYAAATTAAATTAAGTATTAACTCATAGTATCACATCAAATTAATGAACATAAAAAAATTAATTTTTTTTGTATACTATAGAGTGTACGTCTACACAATTTCTCATTTTAATGTAGGTAACTAAATGATTAACTCAAATAAAGCTTTAATTTTGAACATTTATAAAAATTGTTATCACAATGGCAGTAAAAAAATATAACTATTAATAACAATTAAATAAAAATTAAATTGTCTATTTATAATTTTACTTTTTACAATTTGAATATAACATAATATCTAAATATCCATATTTTACTTGAAGGATTGGATACTTGTTTCAAACAGAAATAAATATCTTGTTAATAAATTACATGCAATTATGTAAAAGAAATTGATAAAATAACTTCACTCTCATAAGATACCTGTATTATTGGAGCTACTACACGAACTTGACTCCTTTGATTGTTTTAGTTTTTCGGCTCGATCTAAAGCTCTTTCAATTAAAATTGTTAAATTTTTTATCATTTCATCATCTGATATTTCTTTTTTCTAAAATAACAAAATACATTTTACCATATTAGTTTTAAGATTTAATATAAATATGATTTTTAATAATTAATTTAATAACATAATGAAAGTGTCTAAACATTTTGTTAATTAGAAATCATTTTTAATTACCACTTTTAATGATAATTCAATTGCTTGCGTATACGTATCAATAGCCAAATCTTCTTTTCCTGACTCATCAATATCCAAAGCTTGCTTGAGTAAATATTTACATTGTTTTAACCTTACTTTATCTTGGTTTATATTTTCCATATTATTGGCCGCTTCATTTTGAACTATAAAATTTAAAATAAGCATCAAAAACTATGAGTATTGAATAAATGATATTAAATAATATTAACAAAAATCATCTGATGAGAAAATAAATAACGAATTATGTTATTGTTCATAATCTAGTAAACAGAAGACAATAAACTTATAAAATCGAATGTTAATTATTTTTAGTTATGACTTTTTTCTAACAATATTTCATTTTAATCACGCAATACAAAATAATGAAATAATTAACTATTTACTATAATAGACACCATAATATTATATATCTTATTAAATCAAGTTATTAATAATAATGAAAGTAAAGAATATTATAAAYGATTAACACCTAGTTCAGGCACAAATTTAAAATGTTTGTTAAGTGAAATAATTAACATTTTTAGACAAAACTATATCTTTAATCCTTTAACTATTCAATTTTAAATTGAGATTTTGTGATTGTTGAAGTTTAAAAGGATTTAGAATTTGTCAGGCTCCCCAAATTCCTGATAAAAAAGGAAAATAGTATATATACATAGGAAGAATAACAAGACAAGTAAACAATTTTCTATTTTCCTTTAAATTACTATATTACTAATATTTAGTTACAATTTAAATTAAACAACTAATATTTTATTAAGAAGAGCCATGTGCCCATGTCCTAAAGACTTCATGTAGTATGATCACTGGATAAATTTCATTTCAAACCAAAAATACTGAAATTTAATAAATAAAAATAATTAGATTTAACTTSAAAAAGGTATCTGTAAAGTGTATTTTAATATTAAAAATAAAATTGCTTTTCAGTTAATTAATTGAATTCTAGTTATTTTTCTTTCACAAATTTGATTTATCCAAATAATAAATGAGTTCCATTAAATATTATAGAATCTACTATCTACAGTGTTTTATACACCSAAATTTGAGATTAACATTGTCAAAATCAATTTTAAGATTAAATAGGTATTTTGGATCATCAGTATAGATGGAAATTAGTAATAAGTCTACAGAAAAAATTTTATTTCACTCTTAATATTCAAATAATTTTGTAATAGGTACCTGTTGTTGTTGCCCAAATATAAGTTATATAAAAAATATCACCCACCGAATCATTTAATACGTAGCATAGTAAATAATWAAAGGTAAAAAATAATTATTAGATATTTTTATATATGGGATACCTAGTTTGATTATATAAAAMAATTACTTTGATATTCCAAAGCTTCAGCTCTATTGACATAATCATGTGATTTTTGACACCATTCATTGGCTAAAGGATCATCTTTTCGTATCTTCCAGGCAAGTTCTAAGAGTGTTGCAGCCTCTTTATAATAATATACAGCAGCTTGCAGTTGACCTTTACAGTCACAGTCTACCGCTTTATTTGACACTACAATGGCTTCTTCAGCGTACTCCATTTTATTTGAATTACTATATTATAACACACTTAACTGCAGTACTGATTTAAATTATACTAATGAGGTTTAGGTTTGTGGCCATCAACATAAAAGTTCCTGGTTGCTGCAGGCAACACAAGTTCGATGCCGTCCAAACTCTTGGTCAGAACAATTTGACAACCCAAACGCGAGTTTTCCTTGAGAAATGGCGCTAGATCTAGTAAATCGTCCTCTTTCTCTTCCGATTCGGGAAGCTTGGATAGATAATCTTCAGCAACATAACAATGACAGGTAGTGCAAGCTAACGACGCTTCACAAGCACCCTCCATTTCGACTCCATACCTRGAAAAAATTGAAAGTTAAATTATTCTCATAATGACAATCATCATCAACCTCAACATGACACTTTTAATTGCCTACCTGTGGGCCAGATACAGAACGTTGTCACCGACTTTTCCCCTGACTACAGTACGCTTGCCCTCTCTGTCTACAAACGCCACTTGGACCACGTCAGCTTCGTTTTTTGGATCCTGCCATTCGTATTCGCCGTGCCGCTGACTTGGGGTGGTARACACGAACCTCTTCCGGACGGATGGGACTCTGGGTCTGGTCAAACAGACACCACTCGACGGAAGGGTGAGGAGACGGTGTCGATTGCAGAACACACCACGCACTAGTTTTGCCACAGTAACGGGCAAAAACATGCTATATCGTATACTACGCGATTAGACTTTTTATGCTCACGACGACGGTAATAACAGAACATGCTAGACGGACAAAGTTCGACGCCGGTAGGTAAGTCGTAACCGAAAGCGTAAAGTGCAGACGGTCGTGCACTTGAGCATTTGTTTTTGATAACGCTGCGGCTGCGCAACAGACGACGATTCGAAACGTGAACCACCGTGAACAACTGCTAATTCGTAACCGTCGAACTACGATGAGTCGATGAGTCGATGACGTCACGTCATGAGGATATTATAGATAAATAGATAATATATTATGTTTATTATTATATTTTTACATCTGTTATATACTTATATCTGTGATGCTGAATATCACGATATAACGATATTGATGATAATTATAATAGCAGTGACAAACAACAAAAAAAGCTCACATAATCCTTTGGTACGAAGGGCAGGTGGTGGTTAAGTGGTATATCGGTATGAGTCACCGATTTGGGCACTCGAGTACTCGATAAAAAGTTGTAAATTAGATATARAAAGTTTAAATCTACTCGGAAAACCATTTAATCGAGATTTAGTTGTGAATGCGAGGCTTGAGTTGTATGAGATTGCCAGGTGAATACTATGTTTAAACTCAAGGTAAAATCATGGGTATAATACAATACTGTATATTTAAAATTATAATCAAAATATCTAAAACATTACCAATTACCATTAAAATCAAACATGTTCCTTGTTAAAATTGTTCAGCATTAAAGTAGTCCAGAGATAATATTTTTAGCTATCATCAGTGTGTTTAAGAAGACGCTAAGTATGCGATTTAAATATATAATCATGCTAAATCCGCATGTGTTTCTTCCCTCTTACACTCGTGCAACATAGACTAAACGAGGATCTACGAACTAAAGTCCGGTAAAAAAAGTCCACGTACAAAATTTCGGTTTATTTATAAGTTGATTATAATATGTTAACATATAACACATACATTGATGTAAACAATATTAGGAATACTTGTTTATATGGATAGAACTGATAGAAGAGGTTGGCATCCGGGAATTAAAAAAAATATAAAACATTTCATTTTTAAGTTTGAYAAATCACATTCCAACACTTTTAGTCGAATATATACCTTGCATTTACAAAACATGAACATTTCATTTTGTAGTTGGAAAAAAGATCGCCAGTAGCATTATAATACTGGTAGTATTATATTATTTTATAAATTATATTACCTATATGAAAAATAAAATTTATATTGTATATTGTGTTAAAAATTTTTATTTTATAAAAACGAACTTATACCATGAAAATACAATATTAATAAATATATACATGTATTTTATTATATGTATATAAAATGTATGCCAAGATGGTTAAACTTTCGGCATTTTCAACAGTTTATTCAAAATAAACGCGATCAAGATGCAATTCTAACTGACCAATTAGTTGTTATTTGTTTCAATTCCGGTATAAGATAGTAGATAGTAGATACCTACCACATATCCTAWAATCGTCGTAGATAAATTATTTTATAATCAYATTAAATTTTAATTTATATTTAATTATTATTATTTTAAGTTCGTGATTGACTAGGTAATATAATCACATATATGATATAATATACTAAATGCATCAATCAGATAGCAGCCACTTACTAGTTACTATACCAAAGACTATACCACTTCAAAATGCAAGGCCACAAAAACCTAAGTTAATACTGAGTTCTTGTCTCTGCAAGGCCGTGCCGATGGTGGTGAGKGGGGTGAAGGGGTTTAAGCCTTTCTGCATTTTTTTAGCATTACGCAAACTTAGAARTTTAATATCAGTTAATTTTTTAGTTATAAAAATATTTATAATTATATTTAAGATAATATTTAAACCATATTTGTTTTTTTTATTTGGTACAAGTTACTTTCAAATGTTGTTTATTATTAATTTATGGTAAAAGGACGTTTCACCCCCGTCTATTATTAAAATAGGAYATTTGGCTCCCGGGAGTTATATAAATATTTATTCATACTTACCCATAGGACGTTTGGCACCTGGGATTTTAAAACATTAAATTTAAATATTTTTTTTAACTTAAAATTTAAATTCTTAAATAAAAAAACAATTATAATGATAATAATAATAATTTAGGTACAATTATATTAAGTAAATTATAAATATTATATGATTATTTATTCCTGTCACATTTGTACAAATATTATAATTTTTATTAAATTAAAACCTATTGTATAACCATATTTTACTATGTACTAAATACTAATTTTGTTACAAGCTAATAACCTTAGCAGTTGAAGCTGTACCATGAATAATAAAAAAAAATTTGTTTTATTTTAACTTCGCAATGATTGGTTTTTGGCATATTTATAATTTGATTTTTTTTTTTGACAATGTATTAGTCACTGCAGATGCATTGCACATCTGTAAGGACTTGATAAAAATATAAATGTTTGGGTGTTTAATTCTTACAATATTTTTAAATGTATTATTAAACCCTTCAGACACGTTGATGGTTCGACCATATAACCTTCTTTCGTAGCATTATACATGTTCCACATATACGGAGAAAATATTGGCGGACGTCGTACTAAYCTAATCGTACCGTACTCTGTAGGAATAGATTTGTATGTTCCAATAACGTATGTAGAATTAAAATACACTAAAATGTCCAGATGTCCTCCAATTCTTCTATTGTCTTTAATGAATTGAATAGTATTGACATCCCTTTTAAAAATTCCAAGTAAGTACTGAAGTATGTGTAGCCGTGTAGGTATACATAGGTATATAACAAAAATATTATTAAAAAAAAAAATTATCTCTGTTTGCAGAATTGGTTGGAAGAAATAATGCTACCTAATGCAGGAATCATTTTTACGGATGATCCGAAGTTTTTGTCTTCTTAATGTTTTATTACCCAAGTCCTGAACTTTTTGTCAGATGTAGGTACTGGTTTAAATGATAATAGCATAACTGCACCGATACTTCATCATGAAATACTTCCTTGATAGCCTGTATTACAGATTGTTCGAAATYAATTGAAATTATTGAAAGCGATACAATTTGATCCCGTATAGCAGACAATAACTCAATATGAATGTGTCTTTATTTTTACGTTGAAGCAAAGCGTACATCACTTGAATTATTAAATTATTTATGCTTGCATGTAATATGTTCATACTTGGAATCGTGGAAAAAATGGCCACGGAAAAAAACCCAAAAAAATATATTATACATAATATATTTACATTTATTTATAGATATATTTTAAATAATATACATAGTATCATAGTATTTAATTAATTTTTTTTTTTACTTTTTGACTTCTGTTAAATTTTGTATTGTTTTAACTTAGCTTTTTATAGTTAATTATCATTATTGTACAGTTAARTTTATTTACAAGTAAATCATGTGATTTGGGTAGTTAAAGGTAACACCAGTGCAGTGGCGTAGACAAGGGGGGACGTGGGGGTCAGATCCCCCCATTAGCTTTATTTTTTGTTTTTGCTTACATTATGTAGTATACTAGTATGCACTATAATGTAATATTTTTTCATATTGTGAATTGTGATCTATCGAGCTATTGAATTTTGACAGTTTTTTCAATATACTGATTACTGAATACTATTATAATTTTATTTTCGTTTATTTATACCAAATTAGCAAAGTAAACAGTCATATTTATTTGGTCAAAATGGTCGATGACGATTGACGACTACGATTATGCTTTATTATAGCTTATCTTATTATTTATAGAGACAACAATATACAGTATATTACTATATTATATATATAATATGTATGACGTATGTCTATAAAGTTATGTTTACACATTTTGAATTTTTCAATATTATAAATATTTAAAATTTATTTTTTATTAATTTTATTAGACTTTAAATAATCATGCTAAACATGAATACCTACCATAAACATTAAACTAGGTATCTTAGAAAAAATTTTTGAGAGGGTGGGGGATTTTCCAATTTTCACCTCCCATTTAGTTGTCGTTTTTTTTTTTATCCCCCCCTTTCAGAAATCATGTCTACGCCACTGCACCAGCGTGTAGCTGAATTAACTTTATAGTTCAACCTAAATAAGTTATATTTAAAATAGCTATAATGTCAAAATCATTTTGTATTCAATATTGATTCTAATAATTGTATTAATAAATGAGTTAAATTAATCCAAGTAAATGATTATTAATTGTGGGACACTTAATAAGTGTTTTGTTGTTAATTCAACACTAGATTTGTACGTGTGATAGTTAACAATACAATCTGTATTATTATATTACCACAAGTCCAGAAACGTGAATATTTTGTATTTTTAATATTTTGTTCTTATTTTCTGTAAAAATGTATTATTCTATCACAGAAATAAAAATATAATATGATTGTAAATCCAATGTATAATCAACAATCAACCACATTTTATAAAATATTACAATTTACAATGATTGCACTTTTATTTTCTTGGGCTTTTTTTCCGTGGCCATTTTTTCCGCATACCATATACTTGGTAGAATTCAGAAGGACAAGTTAAAAATGTTCCGTCCATATAAATAATTTTAGTTTCAGATAAAATTTCGCGGCACGTTTTTGAAGAAAAGATTATAATACGATTATAATTATTTTTTATGTAAAATAAAAATGGCTCTGGATTGTTCTCCACCGGTTGTACTCCACTGTGTTTCTTCCAATGTAATATCGACAATTTTTCAATTTTAGGATAAATATTCGGGGTTGGTAAATTGAGTCCCAAATGACCCTAACTCGGTAAATTGAGTCCCAGAGAAAAATAGGTATTAGGTAAGTTGAGTCCGGGAAACAATAAGRTAGTAGGTTATTTAAGTCGCAGGGAAAAACGATTTATATGCATTTGRAATTTAAAAATATGCACTATAAAATTTTTATTTGTGATTTGTGGACATTCGTTGACTGCATGTATATGATTTTGAAAATAGCAACATGCATTTTTATTAATTATATAATTATTTTTTTTCCCAACGATAACTATAGGTATCGTGTTTGCAGTAATAGTAACGTGTTTGAGTGTTTCTTTTAAGTTTTGGAAAATGGAAGTAATGATAAGTGAAAAAAACAAAACTGTAATTATAAAAGACGGTTTAAGTGTTTTTTTAAGAGACATA